ATCTTACTTCTATATACCTGAAAGAAACCTTTTGGGTTAGTCTTCGAATCCCTTGCCACTTTAGCCTCATAATATCTCTTAGCTTTTCTTATTCCCTTTTTTTATTTCTCTCTTTAATTGAATACGTATATTGATTTCTTAACTGCCCACCTCCTTCTTTGATACATCTATATATGCCTCTCTTTTGACCAATGAGATGTTTTAATCTATTGTTTATCCATTTGGGATAAACAAGATCGAGCCGCAGGAACGTTTGAAAACGATTCTTCAAGGTACATGCAGTACAAAGTTTCTTCTAAGAGAAACAATAATACATTCTCATAGGACACCTTTATTGAAGATATTACAGACCACAGAGCTTCATCACTTCATATACAAGGTTTCTTCTCACATTCTTACTGCCTTGCCCATACAGCAGATAAACTGGGAACTTTTCTTCTAGCAGACTGTCGTGGCTAGCAGCCACGAATATAAATTTCCCACGTAAAATGTGTTATAAAACTCCAGCCGTGCTGGAGCACATCAACAATGTGTAAGATAACTGCAGACTTCTGAAAATATTCAAATGCTTGGTAAGAGGTATCCACATACTGATTGTTTATTAGGATTGTGACGCTAAAGCGGCTAGTTTACAGTGCACCTCAACTGTTTTGTGGACGGTAACGCAATGGTCTAGCAACCAGGGCTCAAAAGGGTGAGCAGGAATACATCTGGACTTTTATCTACAATTATCTTGTTGCAAGTAAATCTACTGTATTTAAGGACAAATTTCCGTGTCATTCATTCCCATTCTTTCCTCACTGTGTATGTGGTTAAGTGCATACTTGCCTGTGTGTCTGTCTGTCTACCTCTCTGTCTGTCTGTCTGTCTGTCTGTCTGTCTGTCTGTCTGTCTCCCTCTCTCTCCCTCCCTCTCCCTCCCTCTCTCTCTCTCACACTCCCCCTCTCTCTCACATCCCTCCCTCTCACTCTCCCTCCCTCTTCTTCTCCCTCCCCTCTCTTCTCCCTCCCTCTCTCTCCCCCTCCCTCTCTTCTGTCCCCCTCCCTCTCTCTCCCCCTCACCTCTCTCCCTCCCTCATCTCTCCATCCCTCTCTCTCTCTCTCCTCTCTCTCATCTCTCCCTCTCTCTTCTCCCTCCCTCTCTCTCCCTCCCTCCCTCTTTCTCTCCCTCCCCCCCTCTCTCTCTCCCTCTCTCTCTCCCCCCTCTCTCTCTCCCTCTCTCTCTCTCTCCCTCCCTCTCTCTCTCTCCCCTCCCCTCCCTCTCTCTCCCTCCCTCTCTCTCCCTCCCTCTCTCTCCCTCCCTCTCTCTCCCTCCCTCTCTCTCCCTCCCTCTCCCTCCCTCCTCTCTCCCTCCCTCTCTCTCCTCCCTCTCTCTCCCTCCTCTCTCCCCTCCCTCTCTCTCCCTCCCTCTCCCCTCCCTCCCTCTCTCTCCCTCCCTCCCTCTCCCTCCCTCCCTCTCCACTCCCCTCCCTCTCCCTCCCTCCCTCTCCCTCCCTCTCTCCCTCCCTCTCTCTCCCTCCCTCTCTCTCCCTCCCCTCTCTCCCTCCCTCTCTCTCCCTCCCTCTCTCTCCCCTCCCATCTCTCTCCCTCTCTCTCCCTCCCTCTCTCTCCCTCCCTCCCTCTCTCTCCCTCCCTCCCTCACTTGCTCCTCCATGCAATACACTCAATACAAGGTTGTTTCAGCCTTCCAACTTTATAACCTTTCAACAATTTATGATCATAACCTTTCCGCTTCCTTCAGCTGCCATCATTTGTTTTACTCACACTGCTGCGGCGTTAAACCAAACTCATTGTCATTTTTTTTTCTGGTTAATTTTGGTGAAAGAAACGTACAACTGCAGGATTCTTTCAAGATGGTGGGCGAATAAGCAAAGATGCTGCAACCGCGCCCTGAGATCAACACCATATGATCGCATGTCAAGAGGTGATCACATATAGTTAACGATATGTAGCGTTACACGCACGAGGTGTAGCGTTACACGCAAGGGGTACAGTGTTACATGCACGCAGGGTTTGCGTAAGGGAACACCGCCTCAGTAGCGCAGCTGGAGTCTCTCTGTAGCTCGGATTTATACGTGTTTGTGTATCTTCGTAATAATCGGTGGCGGTCATGTTACGGAGGCGGTGGTGAGCGTCGACTGGCAGCGCGATATTCAGCGCTCCGGAAGTTTGCTTACTGCCAATAACTACGAAAGTAAACCTTGAAGAACCTTAGGGCAAACTCACTACCCACACCACATTATTATTAATATTTTATATCCTAATATTCTCCTTCCCTAAACAATGAATGATCCTTACGGATTTAACACTTTCTGACAATAATAACAGTAGTAGTAGTAATTATAATAAACCAGGATAACTTACAATTGACTGGTGAATGACTGACAAAATTCGCGGTTCTATTTTCTTGTCAGTGAACGGAAGATCGAGCCTCCAGCACTCCTCGTGTGCTAAATTACCCACACAGGCTTAACATTTCATCATATAAATATACTAATTATACTCCTCCTCAATTCTAAGTACCCGTAGTGTGTGTGTCACCAGCTTCCTCACTCTCCGTTGATTTATGCACGTTGTTTACCTCTGGAAAATATACTTGCCATATTTAATGTACATTAATCAATATTTCAGTACCGTTAACCACTAGTAACGAAATAAATGTGCAACTTACGTCTGGCAGCTGTGGATGTACCATAATGTCTTAATTAACGCTGGAATCCATCCATACACCAGAAACGACGATCTTCACACTGTTAACCTTCCAGTTTAGTGTGTTGGAAATGCTTTTGAAAACTGACAAGGTGAACAATGAGAGACTTGTGCAACATTTGGGAATCTTCAGTCCAGTACAGAGAAGAAAGAAGAAAGATGAGGAGGATGAGGTAATCAGTCTCTCAGCCTGGAGTCGGTGTGTTCAGTCCACCAATCTTGATGGACTAACCCAGACTCCAGGCTGAGGGACTGATTACCTCATACTCCTGATCTTAGTCTTATTCTCTGTACTGGACTGAAGAAGCCACTGGCTGGCGAAAAGTTTCCTCAATAAAAATTCTCAAATGTTTCACAAGTGTTTCACTGTTCAACTTCCAGACTAGTAACTAGACCCAACAGTGCTAGTTCTGACTAACCTTAAGAGGCGCCTGAGTTTCCCGTCTCATAATATCATGTTTATTTTTCCTCTATAATCTTCCTTGTCCATAATTACTATCGCATTTACTTTGTCTGCTTTCGTAATGTGAAGTCCAGGATCTTTCCTTATTGATGGTATAACTTAACAAATATTTGATGACAATTGTGTTGTAGAGGTGTGAACAAAGCTCAGACAGTAATTATGGACAAGGTAGATTATAGGGGAAAATAACATTAGAAGACAGAGGACACTGACTAGCCCTAAGTCAACTACGTAAACCACCCAGTGTGCGCACCATTCACTGTAACACCCAAGGTCTGGTACACATCTCACTACGTGTTCCACTCAGTGTACACTTACAGCTACGCACACTTATCATCGTGTACATCTTGTCGCGTGCCAGAAAGATCATGTATATATACACGTTTATGCACACAGTAATCCTGCACATTGATGAGCAGGCGTGGCGAAGATCATGTGTACATTTAGTAGTGATTAAAAGCAGTTTACACAATTTCTCTCAGTTATGTGCACCTGTGATAGTGATTACATATGGTTATGTGCAAATATGATTAATAACATCTAAATGAATTTGTGCGTCTGATCAACTGTACGAACACACAGACTTACACAATGTACGAACACACAGACTTACACAATGTACGAACACGCGGACGTACACAATGTACGAACACACGGACGTACACAATGTACGAACACACGGACGTACACATCAATTAAGCTATGAAGCTTATCTGGTCCTGAACATTAAAAAAAATGAAAAGTCTCACTAAACATCAACACTTACCTGGTTATACTGAGAAGTTAAGTGCAGGCACTAATCCCCACCTTCACAAATTAAGTGTAATGATCCGGCCTTACCAGCATCACCTAAGTGGGGATTTCAGCTTTTAAAGACGATGAATAAATCAAAATGTAACATAATTGTTATTAAGTTACAAGTTAAGTGCGTACTAAAACTGTAGGTGCGATTTTTGTTGATTTGCTGTTATATTTGCTGTTATATTTGCTGTTATATTTGCTGTTATATTTGCAGCATCTGCTCTCCGAAGTTGATCACAAAACCTATGTAAAGAAACTAGCTTAAAATGTGTTAAAAACCAGTGATCCTCTTAATGATTCTCTCATGATGATACAGACACGAATGTTACTTGCCTAACACTTGGCAGACGAGTGAAATTGTTTAAAAACATTCTCAGTCAAGAACAGGATTCGAACCTGCGCACTATGCATCAAAATAAACAGTACTTCTGCCATACACCCAGACCCCAGAGTGTGCAGGTTCGAATCACTGTAGCAGTCTCCTGATTTCACCCTTTTCGTTATAACTCTGAGTTCTGTGCGTTAGAAAGTTAAATATTCACCTGTTCACCTTCAATTATTCCGTTTGCACGCATTTTGTCAAAGGCTTTTGAAAGTCAGTTTATACTATACATCTGCATTTTGCTTGTTCCCTAATGTATCCGAGACCATGTCGTAATAATCCAACAATTACGAGAGGCAGAAGAAACCTGGTCTGAAGTCATGTTGACCTGGGTTTCGCAATTCGCAATTCTTACGAATCTTAATTAAGATTCGTTAGAATTATGCTCACACACCAACAACTCTTCAGATCCCCAGAGCAACATCTGCATCAACTCTCACCAAACAGGTTCCCACAGGCCTGCTGGATGCTTGAGCCTCAAATTCTCAACCCGTTTTTCACACCCTCTCACAAAACTTTCCGGGACACCCCCCTTAACCTCCTTCCATCTGTACACAACCTTCATGAATATTCAGCTTAGAATACTTAGTATTTAAATACTCTCATACAACGTGTTATTAATAAGGATATTTACTGTTTCTTACAGATCTTCGGCAGCGCCTGGGTCGGGAGTGGCGTGTACCTCCATACCTCAGTGAACGACAACGAAAACGACGCGCATTTGCTGATCGCGATTTGGAAAATGTCATGTTACAACGCGAATCCATATTAGCCCAGAGTGCCCAACTCACTGCCCATCCCACCCACATTCCTGCAGAGTGGATGGCGCACGTTAGTCTCCTGCCCGTCCACCTGCAGGAAGCTCTCAGGTTACACCCGCAGCCGGCGCAGGCGTTGCTGCAGCTAGTGATTGAGGCTTGTGGGGGTGACAGAGAGAGAGCACTGCAGTACCTAGCCACACCACCTCCCGTCAGCCAGCCAGTGCTCAAGCACACCACTGCTCAGGATATGTGCGCCAGTGTCACCATGGGCATGCATATTAGCCTAAGAACTGTCCTTCACGGTTCCTGTCAATATCGTTGGCTTGCTTGCTGCGTCAACACGCCAGCATCCGCTCCGTCGCCTCTCCCACCCGACACGTTTCCCTTCCAGCTTCATCTGATCAGCTTTACAGTGTCGGTTAGAGATACCAGCCGAGAATCACCATCTCCACTGGTTCGTCACGCGCCCTACCCCACCACCCACGTCCCATCCTCAGGAGCAGAAGAACGGCCATTCATTCGCCAAGTTGAACAGCCCGAAATTTGAGGCTGATGTACTACTGACGGCATCAGGAAGACCAGTGACAAGGGAGGAAGTGAGAGTGTACTACCCTGGCCACAGTGTGTTGCGAAGCCCAGACTTCGCACTTGCCTCAACAGCCCTCAAATCCTCACCATCAACTTTATTTGCCACTACTCCACTTGTGATGGCGGACAAGGATGGTTCGTCGCTCTCTCAACCCGCTGGTCAGCCCAATCCTGCACTTTACTCACATGCTGTGTCAAGGCTCCCAACAGACCGTTCACAATCTCACACTACTTGTCCAACGCCCAGAAAAGCAGTAATTCCTTTTCCAGTGGAATCTATAATCGGAAAACAAGTTTAGCCATCTTAAATCTGTACTGTTGATGATAAATGCAATGGCACACTAAGCCATACCAATCGTCATTTAAATTTGATGTTGCTACTACGAATGAACGGCAGAAACCAGACGTTGAAAAACTGACAGTCACTAATTATAGCGAGTTGAATATTTTGCACACACACACATACACACAAAATTATATATGTGTGTGTGTAATATATATATAACAACAAATATCATACTATATAATATATATATTATATTAATATATATATATATATTATACACGCACACACACACGTACGTCGTACCGAATAGGTAGAACTTGAGAGTTTGGCTTAAGTAACAACGCTCTTCTTGCCGAATAAGGCAAGCGAAAATTTGTCCATGCAATACTGTCGCAAAAATCATTCTGAACCTAACAAAAAAAATGTATTTCATGTAATTATTGTAAACTTATCAAAAATATATTTAATTGGATTAAGCTAAATAAATTTCGCTTATTATAATAAGGCTAGGCAAGTTTTCTAAGGTTCTTTTGGTCCAAAATTATTAATTTTTACATTAACATAAATGAAAAAATATATCTTTAAATGTATAAGAGAAATTTTTTAGAAAGGACTTAATTTTAAACGAATTCTTGCTAACTGACCAATTTTACCTGTTCGGCACCACATTATATATATGCAAAAATAAGAAAACAGTAATAAATTATATATGTTTAACATATGTAGACATGTTAGGTGAGGTCTACACAAGTATGACTGAGGTAAGGCAAGGTTTTTTTTAGGCATGGATGTTGATAAGTGGCGTTAGTGTGGAGAGTAACATGGGTATTTCCTGTTTCAACTCCTCCCCCTCCCTCCAACCCCCCTTCCCCCTTCCTCTACTCTCCCCCTCCCTCCACTCCCCCTCCCTCCACTCCCCCTCCCTCCACTCCCCCTCCCTCCACTCCCCCTCCCTCCACTCCTTCCCCTCCCCCTGTACTCCATTCACATCATCTTCACCAATTAAGACAGATTTTTTTTAATACTAAGTGGTTGAAGCAGTAACGTGCCCACAGTAACTTCCAACTTTCATAGGTTCTTCCGTCTGGCTATTTGACCTAGTAGTGTTCCTAGTTCACCTTGTTCTTTTACTAGCAGTGTTCCTAATTCACCTTCTTTTACTAGGAGTGTTCCTAATTCACCTTCTTTTACTAGCAGTGTTCCTAATTCACCTTCTTTTACTAGCAGTGCTCCTAATTCACCTTCTTTTACTAGCAGTGTTCCAAGTTCACTCCACATTGTTCTTCTCTGGCTAGCAGTGTCCCTAGTTCACCCCACCTTGTTCTTTCATTACTTTCTCTGTGAAATCAGCTCTTCAAGAAGTGCCTTCAGTTTCGTGAAAGGCTCTTGATCTAAAAGAATGGGAGCTCCTTCTACCCTTCCTCGGATCAAACCTAATTACCTTTCCCCAGTTCAACGGGCGTTGTATGACCCTTATAGTTGATAATTAATATTTTTTTTTCCCTTAAATCACACAGTCAAAAATAATCTGACATTTCTTCAGGTTGAGTTCTCAACCTAAGGTTGAGTTCGTAAGGTTGGGTTCTCAACCTAAGGTTGAGTTCTCAACCTAAGGTTGAGTTCTCAACCTAAGGTTGAGTTCTCAACCTAAGGTTGAGTTCTCAACCTAAGGTTGAGTTCTCAACATGATTCAGGTTTAGTTCTCAAATTTCTGCAGTCTAAATACTCTTCGTCTAGTTAAGCTGAACTTTTTACACAAGTTCTGTACTATCAGTTCTATACTATATCAGTTCTGTACTATATCAGTTCTGTACTATCTATCAGTTCTGTACTATCTATCAGTTCTGTACTATCAGTTCTGTACTATCTATCAGTTCTGTACTATCAGTTCTGTACTATCTATCATTCTGACTTATTCTGTACATCTATCTTTTATTCTGTCACTGCACTATCAGTTCTGCACTATCTATCAGTTCTGTACTATTTATCAGTTCTGTACTATCTATCAGTTCTGTACTATATCAGTTCTGTACTATATCAGTTCTGTACTATCTATCAGTTCTGTACTATCTATCAGTTCTGTACTATCTATCAGTTCTGTACTATCTATCAGTTCTGTACTATCTATCAGTTGTGTACTATCAGTTCTGTACTATATCAGTTCTGTACTATATCAGTTCTGTACTATCAGTTCTGTACTATCAGTTCTGTACTATCTATCAGTTCTGTACTATATCAGTTCTGTACTATCAGTTCTGTACTATCAGTTCTGTACTATCTACCAAAGATATAAGATCTAAGACTAGTTGCATCTTAGTTACAGAAAGTAACGTAGTTTTGCTAAATGACTTATGGTAACTTTACCTCATATTTTGTAACTTTTATTTGTGTTCTCTGCCTCAATAAATGCTAAAAGCAATAAATCTTTTTTCCCCTCCTTGTTGCTAAGACCAAAGATAAACACACACCTACACCTGGGTCAGGAGCTGTGACTCGATCCTTACAACCACATACAGAAGTGTACACACAAGTACACATGCACGTACACACCCGCGTGTACAACTGTAAACACACACATACACAGATTGGGGAAGGTCAAAGAAGACCGCGGACATAGTACAGGCTAAGGGGCCAAATACTACAAACTTCACTCAAGGAAAAGGGTCTTGGGGTGAGTATAATACCGAGTACATCTCCTGAGGCGCACATCAACTGCTGCAGCATGTGGGAGCATGACAAACCTAAGAATAGCGTTTCGACACCTCAGTAAGGAATCGTTCAAGACTTTGTACACAATGTACGTCAGGCCCATATTGGAGTATGGTTAAACACATCAAGAAATTAGATGAAGTGCAAAGGTATGCAACAAGACTAGTCCCGGAGATAAGGGGTATGGCCTACGAGGAGAGGTTAAGGGAAATCGCCCTAACGACACTGGACAGGAGGGATAGGGAGACATGATAACGACATAAAATACTGAGAGGAACTGACAAGGTGGATAGGGACAGGATGTTTCACTGATGGGAAACAACTGGGGGGTCACATCTGTAAGCTGAAGACTCAGATGAGTCACAAGGATGTTAGGAAGTATTTCTTCAGAGTTGTCAGGAAGTGGAACAATCTCGAGAGTGATGTAGTGGATGCAGGATCCATACATAGCTTTAAGAAGAGATATGATAAGGCTCACGGATCAGGGAGAGAGTGGACCTAGTAGCGACCAGCGAAGAGGTGGGGCCAGGAGCTTGGAATCGACTCCTGCAACCACAAATAGGAGAAACACACACACACACACACACACACACACACACACACACACACAAAGACAATATCTTAATGCTGGTAATTATTTGTTATTAAATGTACAAGCACTATAATTGTTTGGTAATTCAGTGTTTAACGTATTTCACTTCCATTACTAAAGTCACACCATCCTTATCAACTTGCTACTGACCTTAACATTTCACTCTCATATTACATAAATCAGGAAGTATATATTTTTTATAGTCTGCATTTCATATCCACAAATCGTTCAGTTTTACAGGTTGTGTCAAATTTCCACAAGACTGGAAATACCCATCAATAATACCAAAAGAGCGGCTTGGTTCTTAATCAGGAGAGCACCCTGTGGGGAGTGGCACCTCGTGGGGAGTGGCACCCCGTGGGGAGTGTCACCCCGTGGGGAGAGTAGCACTCTTCCCAAAGAGGACACTATCACTAGACACAAACCACCAGACTCTACCACCTCGTTAAGGTGACCTGGTGATGCAGGATCGGGGGGAACAAGGCAGGATTGCTGCTGGAATCCTCTTGATCCAAACATGTTGGAGCAATCTTCCTCTTTGGATCATGCTTGATTACATATATTTCCTTTTGTGTATGTATATGTATGTGTCTCAGTAGTAGTACCAGTTCCTAGTAACCAGTTACCAGTAACCAGTGTACCAGTAGATGACTCAGTAGTAGTACCAGTTCCTAGTAACCAGTTACCAGTAACCAGTGTACCAGTAGATGACTCACTACCAACCGTCATGTGAATCACTGACTGTTATTCACGTTGCTGCTGACCATAGCATGTTTTCAAATGCTGTTCACCCGCTGGGCACTGGTGGGTCAGTCTGAGATAGGGAGCAGAGAGAGGCAGGTCGGCTGATGGTGCTTTCCCATACTTTCCGTTATAATTATACGTACTAACCAGCCTACGTGAGTATTTTTACCCCATCCACGTTATCGAGCCCACATGACGTGTGTGTGTGTGTGTGTGTGTGTGTGTGTGTGTGTGTGTGTGTGTGTGTGTGTGTGTGTGTGTGTGTGTGTGTGTGTGTGTGTGTGTGTGTGTGTGTGTGTTTCTGTCTGCCCGTGTCTGCCTCTGCCTGTGTGTCTGCAAAAACTTTTATACCTGACCACATGAACTCTCAGAACATGTGAAATCTGAAGAACAATAAAAACAATGGTAAACAAAAGTTGAATAAAGGATATAGATGAGAAGCCTCGGACCTGATAGCAGCGGATTTGAAAATCAGTGTGGATAAGGAAAGGAAAAATGAAGTTCAATATTCCTGAGAAAGCAAGTTACATGAGAAAAGGATATTCATGGGAGAAGGAAGGGTTCAAGGACTGGAGAGGAAATAAGAAAGCTGAAGGAGAATGTGGAAAGACCTAGGTAGAGGGTGAAAGGAATAATGATAATTAAAAGGGAAAGCAATAGTAGATAACTTAAGGGAAGAGGAGTGAGAGAAAGTCTTGTCCCGAGATACTTACACAAGACCAGGCAATACAGATAATAATATAAATAATAATAATGAGAATTAATGAAAAATATAAAGCAATCTGAAGGTAGAGAGAATGGGAGGAAGGAAGAAGTCACTGATGATGCACGGCTTGATAACGTTGATGATAGTACAGGATAGAGGAGAGGGTCAACAAAAGAACAAAACCATCACTGAACGAACATGGCGAAAAGATAAAAAAAATACGAGATGGCAAATTTTATAGGATTCGAAGTACATGGTTGACATAAATGCAGATTCTCTCATATGATGTAACACATGACAGATTTTCAGACAGAAAATCTTGAGGAGTATAACAAGATTCTACTATATACACCTGGTGGCTAAAGCTCTCGCTTCACACACGGAGGGCCCGGGTTCGATTCCCGGCGGGTGGA